ACAACCTCTGTTCCATTACTTTCTTAGACAACAACAGCTCCATCGCACTTCAAGGCAAGGAAAATCAACACCGTAAATTCTTACCAAAATATATCTCACCAGACATATTATAACAAGTCTTCTTATACATCTTTCTATATATTATCTACTGCACAAAAGAGTGTTTATTGATTAAAGGAAATATGAAAAAATTTCTTGCTCGTTTTCAATCACCATATCCTTCTACCTAGAATATCTTATCATGGTATCAGAGCTCATTAGTCAGGACCACTCTTTGCCCAACCAGAAAATGTGGTTCTCCATGGCCTCCTCCTCCTCTGGAACCTCCTTTGGTGGCAACACCTCAACTCAGTCAAATGCTCTGCTACCTGATAATCCTGGCCCCTCTTAGCTTAAGTTCATCTTGAGCAATATTCAGAACCTCATCTCAACTCAGCTCACCACCGACAACCATTCGAAAGGCGCAAGCCACAAAACTCTTCAGTGCAAACGGGTATGACAATTTTTAGATGGTTCTTGTTCCTATCCTCCTCGGCACTTCTCTGATGTGAATGGAATCCTTCTCCCCAATCCTGATTACACCAAGTGGATGCTCATCGATCAACACCTTGCTACAGCAGTCCACTCCATTATCTCCGCTCCCATTTTACTCTATCTTCCACTCATAGAAACCTGTCATGACATTTGGACAATAGTAGAGCTCCGCCTCCAATCATCCAACTACTCTCAAATCATACAACTAAAGAACGAAGTTCATAATTTCAACATGCTCTACAAATCCATCAATCAATACCTCTCTGAAGTCAAGGTGAAGGTCGACATTATTGCTGCTACAAGGGCTCCTCTCGATTCGAAAGATATAATCCATTACACCCTTAACGGATTACTATCCACCTATCATGCCTTTAAATCAGCCATCTGCACCACCCTTTATCCCATCTCACTTGACGATCTCTACACTTTACTATGCAGCGAAGAGATCAATTTAGCTAATGAAGCAATCAAGGAGTCCAACAACTCCACAACCCTCTTTGCATCTTGCGGCAAAGACAATCAAACAACAATCGAAATGTCTCTCTGTCTCGATTGAATCAGTCTAACTCCAACTCCAATCACAACAATCGTACTCCAACAATATGTTAAATCTGTCGCAAATTTGGGCATGAAGCCTTCAAGTGCCAATTCCGCCCTGGAAAATCATATCAAACACCAATAGTTCTAGTTGTCGCCAATGCCAGCTCCAATGACAGCAAATGGTATCTCAACGGTGGTGCCACCAAACACTAACTGTCGAAGCAAATGGTATCTCAACGGTGGTGCCACCAAACACTTAACTGCCGAACCAAACCATCTCATTCATGCTCAAGACTATCATGGAGACATCTCCATTTCGGTTGACAACGGTCAACAACTTCCCATTGCTCAAATCGGCCAAGAGATCCTACATACACTCTAAGTAAGCTCCATCTTCTAAATCTTCACCACATTCCTAATTTAGCTTACAATTTTATATCAATTCATAAATTAAACCAAACTAACTTTTGCTCTATCACTTTTACCTTTGAAGGCTATTACATCACCAATCTAAAGAAAAACTGCATACTTCTTAAAGGCTCTTGCGTTCATGGCCTCTACCTAGTACATCCTCTGACCTCCAAGAGGCCAACCACAAATCTAGCTCTCATCTCCATCCAACACAATCAACAGCTTGGTCATCCACCACCTAAAAAGCGATTTGTCATAGCATATAGATTTCCTTTTTATGTAATTCTGCTCGGTTATAATGTATTTCCTGTAAAATAGCTAAGATCCATCGCTCTACTTTTCTACTTATGCTTTTAAAACCTCTTCTCCTTTAGAATTAATTCACTCAGATGTATGAGGTCCTTCACCCACTCTATCATAACAAGCTTATAAATAATATTTGGTTTTCATTGGCGACTACACTAGCTATACTTGGATTTATCTTTTCCGCAATAAAAATGAAATAACACTAAAATTTCTCCACTTCAAATCTACGGTTGAAAATCAACACTTATACAAAATCAAATCTCTCTGTATAGATGGCACTGGAAAATACATCAACCACACTTTTCACAACATTACTAATAAACATGACATTCTACATCAATCCTCCCGCCCATACACGACCGAATAGAAAAGTGTCACCGAGCGCAAGCATCGCCATCTCATTGAAACCGTTTACACACTTATGGCCACCGCTTAGCTACCCTCCCAATTCTAGGCCGATAATCTACTCAACACATCATACCTAGTCACTACCTAACATCCATAACCGCCAACTCCAAATCTCCCTGTGAGCTACTACACCATCGCTCCCCATCCTACAATCACCTCAAAATATTTGGGTGCCTCTGCTATCATTGGCTTCAGCTAGATGCCCAACATAAACTAGCACCCCTATCCACAACATGCGTCTTCATCGGCTATGCACCCAATCAAAAGGTTATCGCTGCATCGACCCCACAACCAAATCTACATATCCCATCACATCTTCAACGACGCAACATTCCCCTTTCATCATCTCCCCAATACCACAACACCGCCTTTATCTCCCACGTCCACTTTATCTCCTCTTTTTCTCACTTCAATCTCCATACTACAAACCAAACACTCACCTCCACAGCTCCCCACAACGCATAACTCTCCCAATTCAATCCGCATTCAATCCAACCAAACGTTAGCCAACCCTCCCACTCCAACTTCAACCCACACACCCCCTTCTCCAACACCACAAACAAAATCCGTTCACCCCATGCAAACCCGCTTTCAAACCGGCTCACTCAAACCACACCAAATATTAAAACTCACCCATCAACTCATATCCGAACCAACCTGTTGCTCCTCCGCTAACAAATATCCCCAATGAAGAGAAACCATGTCCACCAAATTCCAAGCACTACAATCCCAAGGGTACTTGGACCTTAGTTCCAACTCACCTCACTACAATATTTTAGGCTCCAAATGGACAAACAAAACAAAATTCAATGTCGATGGCCCCATCTCTCATCATAAAGCCCGCTTACTTGCACAAGGTTTTAAACAACAACATCGTCTTGACTACACTGAAACATTCAATCTAGTTGCCAAACTACCCAAGATCCAAATTTTCATTACAACTGCTCTTAGAAATCAATGACCAATTCTCCAACTTGATAATGTCCAATGCTTTCTTCCATGTAAAGCTAAATGAAACTATCTACATGCCCCCAACCACCTAGTTTTGTTGGCCCCAACTTTTCACATCATGTATGCATACTAAAATGGGTCCTGTACGGTCTCAAATAAGCACCACGTCAATGATTCGCCGAACTCTCCTCCTATCTCCAAACACTTGTCTTTCGGCCAAGCTCAACCGACCCATACCTATTTTACCTACACAGCCCAAAGAACCACCTCTATATGCTAATATACATAGATGACATTCTACTAACCGACACCGATTGCTTTTTCATTGGCTCCACCATTCAAAAACTCCAAACCCAATTTCGCAATAAAATTCTCGGACAACTCTCTTACTTTCTCAGCATCAAAGTCACTGCCACTCCTACGACTTCCACCTATCTCAATCCTCATATGCCATTGATATCCTTCACTCAGCCGACATGCTCTACTTCAAACCAGTACTCAATCATTGCTCACCAAAACAACCATAAATTCCACCTGACACCACCCCTCTACCAAATCCAACCACATATCGCCAAAATATGGGCTCACTCCAACATCTCAAACTCACTCGTCTGGACATTGCATTTTTCGTTAACCTAGCCTCTCAACACTTGCAACAACCTACAAATTATAACTTTAATCAATTCAAGAGGTTACTTTGCTCCATTAATGGCACCAAATCAGTTCGTCTTCCTATCTACCGCTCTACTTTTCACATCATAGCATAGTCGGACTCCGAATGGGCAGGCAACCCCACCGACCACAAATCTATCTTCGGATATTGTGCCTTCCATGGAAAAATAACAATCTCCTAGTCCGCTAATAAGCGGGCCACCGTCACTTGATCATCAACCGAGGCCGAATACCCAACACTTGCCTCCGTAGCCGCCAATATTATATGGCTCCAACGTCTCATGGCAGACTTCAATACCCCCGCAATCTCAACCAACAATGCTCTATTGTGACAACATCTCCGCTATAACACTCACCAGTAATCCCATTTTCCACTTCAGAACCAAACAAATAGAAGTCGGTTGCAACTTCATCTGCGACTACGCCCAACAACAACACCTCACCGCTCATCACATTACCACTCAAGATCAGCTCGCCGACATATTTACGAAGGCTCTCTCTAACTCAAGATCTCAGTACCTAAATACCAAGCTGACACTTCTGACCAAAACCATCAGCTTGAAGGGGGGTGTAACAACCTCTGCTCCACTACCTCCTTAGACAGCAGCAGCTCTATCGCACTTCAAGCCCAGGAAAAGCAGCACCGTCCATTCCTACGAGAATACATCTCACCACACATATTATAACAAATCTACTTACAAATGTTTCTATGCAGATTACCTACTGTACAAAAGAGTACCCTTACTGATTAAGGAAATATGAAAAAGCTGCTTGCTTCTTTTCTGTCACCTCCTCCTTCAACCTAGAATATCTCATGAAACATACATCTCAAATCCTTCATAATTTCTCATATAAATAAGAGAAGATTAGGACATACAAATTAGAAATATTTTAAATATAGGAAAGTTCAGGTAATTAGATCTCCTCTATTTAAGTTTCATAATAAAGAAAAGTTCATATTATTCGATCTTCTCTAATTAGATCATCTAATATCAATCTTCCTAATATACACACATTTTAATTTACAACAATTAGATTTAATACTTTCTATAACATTAACTATCCTGTCTTTTTTTTGCTATGAGTTAGTTATTACTAATTATCATCTCTAAAAATGTTTCTTTTGCTTATTACTTACCACTGGGCATGTATATGATATTTTAATCTCTCAAAACTAGATGGTCTTCTCCTCCTCTGCTACTGTTTATGGACAACCTGTAAAGTTTCCATGCGTCGAAGAAACTGAGCTGAATGCAATGAACCCTTACGGTCGAACTAAGGCATGCATATGACTGTTTCACAAACTTCTTTCATTTTAAGCTGATAACTATTGCAATGGTGTGAGTTCATTTTGCCTTATAGGTTTCCTTGCAATTTTTGTGCATCAGCTCTTCCTTGAGAAGATAGCTCGTGATATTCAAAAGGCCGATTCAGAATGGAGAATTATACTATTGAGATACTTCAACCCAGTTGCAGCTCATGAAAGTGGCCAGATTGGGGAAGATCCTAAGGGTATTCCTAATAATCTCATGCCTTACATTCAACAAGTTGCTGTGGGCAGGTTGCCTGAGCTCAACGTTTATGGCTATGATTATCCAACGGATGACGGCAGCGCGGTAAATTCTCATCAACCCTTTGTTGTATTTTCTTAGATTTTTTCTTCAGGTGTTTTGTGGGGTGATGTTTGTTGTTAAATCTATGAGGGATTGTTCGAGTTATAATTGCTATGATGTGGATGTTAAGAGTGTTATAATTAGATTTTTTTTGATAGGATACAATATTGATTAGTCTTTTTATTAGCTTAATAAACTTTGCTAATGAGTTTTTTTAATGATGATTAGTAGTATTGTATTCTAAAAATAACTCCTAGTGGAGACAATGAATGGAATGGAAAAAATAATGCGGTGTTTCTCACTTTGTTGTGTTTTATTCTTCTCCCTCTTCTCCTGATTTCAAGAGGTGTCAACATTCTCAAATTGTCATTTACCCTCTCAAATTTGAGTTTCTCTTTCCTGATTCTCACCCACCTAACTTTCGGAGTTACCAACATCCTCGAATTGCCAATTATTAGGATTAAAGAGAAGGGTTTTGTATTGTATTTTCTTGTTCAACTTCTTTTAATATGAATCTTACGCACTTTAATCCTTAAGAGGCACGTAAGAACTCTGGATTCTGGTCCTTTATTGGCCATGAAAATAGCTTAAATGAGTAGAAAAGCTGACGACACGAAACTCTGTAGAGGATCCAAATTTATTCTTGATTCTGCTTAAAGCTCATCTTTGATGATTAATAGAATATAAGGCACAAATTAGATTTGACTAAATAAGTTAAATATTATAATAAATGTTTTTTTAAGAATAGTATCTTAATCTTTGTTTCTTCATAAGTTTGTCTTATTGACTTTGGTTAAAACAGAATGTTGAACTACTGAGTTTATTAGAACTTCATTCATGGTGTTAATCAGATTCGGGACTACATTCATGTAATGGATGTGGCTGATGGTCATATTGCAGCTCTTAAAAAGCTTTTCATCACAGAGAACATTGGTAATCCTTTCCTGTTCTCTCTCCTTTGTTTCTTTCCCATTTTTGTGATAATTTCAGCATCATTATAGTGGCATTTATGCTTTGTTTCTTGCAGGTTGTATTGCCTATAATTTGGGTACTGGACGTGGAACCTCTGTCTTTGAAATGGTTGCTGCTTTTGAGAAAGCATCTGGCAAGGTATGAACCTTCAATCATGTATGCAGTTTATCTTGTTAAGTAAAGTGTCAAAAAAGTCTCCTGATTATTTACATTAGGACATTTTACTCCTAAATTTTACAAAGGGGCAATTTAGTCTCCAAACTCGTTCAGGAAGGGTGAGGACTATTTCAGTCCTTATTTCAATAGTTTGGTGATTAAATTGACATTCTTATAGAATATGAAGACTAAAATGGCTCCAATCAAAGACTCAAGGAACCATTTTGACAATTTTTTTTTAGTTTTATATGCATTTGCACCATTAAAAAGATCAAATTTTTTATTCAATTTGTAAAATTTTTCAGAAAATCCCAATAAAGCTGTGTCAGAGGAGGCCAGGTGATGCTATAGGAATCTTTGCTTCTACTGAAAAGGCTGAGAAGGAGCTTGGTTGGAGGTAAGTTCCCGAGGTCTTGCTGCTATGTGGACTACTGTATGACTGGACCATTTCAATTATTTGACATGATTTAGTATATTTTCTATCTTCAGACGCACCTTTGAAATTCATAGGAGATTTCTCTGTTTGGGAATTCTTTGTTAGGAGATGTAAATATTTACATGGTGCAATAAATGATTAATTAATTGATAATACTGTGAGTTAGTGTTGATTTTTCCACTTTCAGAGCAAAATATGGGATAGAAGAGATGTGCAGAGACCAATGGAATTGGGCAAGCAAGAACCCGTATGGCTATCGGCCTCAGGATGCAGCTATGAAACCTGAGAATTGCGATACATCATAATTTGCTGAAGCTCTGAAATTCATTCCACTAAATAAAGTGTTCATTAATATTAAGGCTACTATGAGGCATGCATCTTATTGCTCCTGTGTTAATGCATCGTTATTTTACTAGCCTCATGCAAGTTTGTTATTCTTCTGTTCTGATTTTTATTTTTATTTTGGTTGATTACTATTATTGGTTTGATATTAACGGTCTGTTTGGGGCAACTACAACTTATTGAATAATCTGCTGATACAACGGATCTGATAAGTTGATCAATAACTTTATTCGGATAAGTTGTTTTGTTGTTTAGTTTGAGCTGTTTGAAAACAACTGATTCGCAGTTGTTTTTGGATAAATGATTATTCTGCACCTTTAAGTATTATTGTTTGCAACATAAATATTTATGATATACAAAATAATGTATTTCCAATCGAGGGTTGTTTCGACTATGGTAATGACATTGGTTTGGCTTTAATGACAGATGACCATTGATGTATGATTTGATCTTGTATAATTATGTTATGAAACCATCATTTAGTAGTATAATTCGAGATCTACTAGTTGACTGTGGCCAACATTCTCTAGTGTTTCATAATTCATGACAAGAATCAAGGTTCAGTGCGTGTGTTAATAGGACGATATATATAGTAGAGCATATTGCGGAGGCTAAGGTTTGGTCAATGAGAAACCAAATGGAATTGATGAAGAGGCCATTTCAATAATAAAAAACTGTTTTTTTTTTTTCTCTTAAGACACCTGATTTTAACAGCCAATAGAGAGCCAGTGATTTACAACATAAAAAAAACACCCCTTCTCCTCCTTTCTCTCTGTAGATATATCTCCTTCCCAAAATTTCATCCTTATTTATCACCACCTTATCAATAAGAAAGGCACCTACACATATCCTAAGGAATCCGATACATCCATAGCGATCCAATATAAAGCCATAAAGTTTCAGATCAACAACTCAACCGCATAAATTTAGCATCTAAAACAAAATCAAGATAAAACGCCCTACAAAATCCATAACCTAACAAACCATTTCAAACTAATGAGATAAACAATACAGAGACCCAATTCGAAGCCTAAAATCGAAGCGCCAATCAACATCATAATCCAGATAAACACCGACAATGATTCACTAGAATCCAGAGAAAAAAAAAAATCAAAATTAAACCTCTAACAGAACGATAAAAAAATCAATGAAGATCCGATAATTCCATATCTAAAATCCAAATTAAATCCTCCAACATCGAACAACAAGCAGCGAAGGATAAGATATGGAGAGAGAGAAAGAGAGATAGAGAACCTGGTGATCGCCGTAAAGCCGGAGGAGGAAAGGCAGCCAAAGCTTCTTGTGTGCGTGCTTTGGGTCGAGCTGAAATCGAAGGAGAGGGAGACGAGAGAGCTCGCGTGTGCGAGCTAGGGCAGCAGGCCGAGCGACTCCTCTGCGAGAGAGAGCAAGGCGAGGCGAGAGAGGCGCAGGTCTCCCTGAGATCGATCACAGAGCTCTGCGGGATGGAGATCGAAAAAGAAACGGAGTAAAACGCTGTATAGGAACGCGGGCCGCGGGGTCTATCCCGCGACCGCTATCCTACCAATTTGTTCATCGTATGCCCCCGCGTGTTTCCGAATCCGCCGACCGAACGCAAAAAAAACAAACACAAATTCGGCGTTTTCAAAACGCCAATGCGTAAATAAACTGGCACAAACGGGGCCTAACAACACGTATCAGCTTCCCGTTAAGATGCTTATTAGATATATTATGGTATTTAAGAGAATCTTAATTAAATTAAGTAGATAAACCATCTTTTTAGGGATAATTAATTGCATAGTATTTGAAACACTGTTATTTATAAAATTAGCATACCTGTAGTCTTTTGTACTACAGAACTGATGCATTTACATGTCCCAACATCAAATTATATAAAATCTGTTAAAAATATAAAACATCGGGTAGGGTTTTATCGTGAATTTTGATATTTGGTTCAGAATTTAAAAATTTGATGAAAGATAGGCGCGAATAGTTATAGCTCATCAATTCATGCGCTCCCCTTCTTAAATCATACAGTTTAAAATTATAATGCTTTGTTCTATCACAAATTCATCTTTCGATCCAATTAATCTCCATAACTTATTTTGGGGAGTCTGAATTTCATTATTTTCTTAAAAGAAGGAATTATAGGAAGATTTACATTCATACCCACTCAATTCCTATGTATTTGCATTTTTTTTAATTATTTAGTACACATATTTACATAATTACATTTTTTTTAAAACAAATATTTAATCGCATTCGAGCGAAGCCGTGTAGGACACGTATGTGATTATATAGTCCTCTCCTCTCAATCCTAAAAGGAGAAGAGGAGAACAAAAGTACCTAGAATGAACAACTCCCCATCCTCCGCCGCCATGGCGGCCCAAATCTGCGACCAGATCCGCGCCGTCTTTGCTCCTCCTCACCCATCTTCAGCCGCCGCCGCCTTCTCCCTCCTCCCACCCCCCCTCGAAGTACTCGCCGGAGAAATCGCCCGCGCGGCCAACGCATCCAAGAAAGTCTTCGTGCACGGTGTCGGCCGTGAAGGCCTCATGCTCAAGGCCTTCTGTATGCGTCTCTTTCACCTCGGCATCTCCTCCCATGTCGTCGGTGACGTCACCACCCCTCCCATCTCCTCCGGCGATCTCCTCATCGCCTCCGCTGGTCCCGGCTCTTTCTCCACCGTCGACGCCATCTGCCGCGTCTCCAAGTCCGCCGGAGCTCGGATTGTGTTGATAACTGCTCAGCCGGGATCTGGAAGCGAGGCATCTCTACTGGCTGATTCGGTCGCGTACCTACCTGGGAGGACGATGGCGGACGATGAGGTGGAGGAGGGGTCCGGTGCGTCGCCGGAGTGGTGGTTGCCGATGGGAAGTGTGTACGAAGGGGCAATGTTCGTGCTGTTTGAGATGGTGGTGGTGAAGCTGGGAGAGAAGTTCGGCCGGACGGCGGCGGATCTCCGGTCTCGCCATACGAACCTTGAGTAGTGATCTCTGTCGCCGCCCGCAAGGTGTTTGTGATATTGTCGCAATCGGAGTTGGCTTGGGCTTGGTGCTAAGCGGTGTTTGGTTTGTTAGCTATTTAATTAGACAACTATGTTTCGTAAGGATGATAATGAATATATGACATACATGTTAAATATTATGGTTGGGAGATTTGGAGAACTCTTATGCATAATGAATGAAATGAATTCAATTTTTACACGTGTTTTGAAACTTCAATAATACAATGAGCCCTCATCAATGATAAGTATAATAGTCGTCTCCATAGTATCACATGTAAATGCCATTATATGCCAATAATTTTGTCATAAGATTCTTTCATTATGATATATATTTTTTTATTGTATAATATTGTTACTGTTCATTTATGTGCATATGGCTAGTTTATATATGGTTCCACTAAACAATGTGCCATAGAGACAGAGCACAGACCTTGGAGTTAAGGACCTCTTTTGTATGTGTCATACTGTACATAAAAAATATGTCAACACGAATCTTAAAGAGATTTGATAGCCGACAAAAATGATGACGTAGCTGATCGAGACCCACTAGAAGCAGTTAAAGGGCCCTATCTATCCGACCTTAATGAGATATTCTAAAGATGAACATAATTCAACCGCCTCCCTTAAAGTCTGCTAGCGCAAAGCTAAGGTAGATGAATTCACGTACATTCTTCAACCAAATTTGCCGAACGATGAAAATTGCAGGTATCTAAAGCGGTCGGTCGAGCTCTCTCGGTCCGCCCTTCAATCATAGACGCACAGGAAATGACCCGACCGGTCGCTCTCTCAAGCCCCGACACATGCCTGACCCAAAATTTGGTCGGATTCGTTCCTAGACTCCCAGCCCCGCATGGGATGCCGTTTCAGGTGCCCGGCCCTATAATTATATATGACAAAAGCGCCAACCGTACCTATTTTTTTAGTGGTCCGGAAGACACGCCTAAGAAATAGAGCGCGAGAGAGAGAAAGAAAGCAGGGAGTTTGACAATGAACATATATCACCTTTATTCCTGAAATGAGCCTATATGTATAGGAATGAAGGGATGTCGAATTGTATTCTGTACCACTAAAAAAATAGGTACGGTGGGCGCTTTTTCACTTTTATAAAGAGTGATTATGATATTTTTCATGTGATGTTAAAATTTGAAGGATATGCATGAAAGTTTAGGCGTTAGATATGTAAATACATAGGAATTATATATTGTATTGTATATAAATGCCACCAAAATTTTAACGAGTTTTTAGACCAGAGTTTTAACCCTTAAGCTCAAACCATTTACTTAGGTAACTACGATTTATTGGGCCTAAACAATGGAGCGCTTATTTCTAAAAACAAAGCCCACTATATGCTGACTCGTTCAAAATTTGATCGTGGCACGAGTACTCACATCGGTTCAGTAATCTTTATGTTATTTTATTAAAAAAAGAGCATTCATACTCACTATATGCTGACTCGTTCAAAATTTGATCGTGGCAGAGTACTCACATCGGTTCGGTAATCTTTATTTTATTAAAAAAAAGGGCATTCCGGCTGTCAAAAAAAAGCTCGTTGTTCGCGAATAGTTGGTGTTCGGTACGTCTATGAGTTCGTGTTCAATTCATTCGATAAATAAACGAGACGAACGTGAACAATTTTTTTTTTTCGTTCGGTTAGTTAAACGAACCAAGCACGAACAATGATGCGTTCGTTCGTGTTCGAATAGTTATTGTTCGAAATATAAAATAATTTAAAATAATTATATATGAAAAATTTATGATATTTTAAAAAAATTAATTTTATAAATTATAATATATAATAAATTAATAAAAATAATATAATTTATATAATATAAGTTATATAATTAATATAATATATTATTTATATATATTAATATTAGGGATGTCAAATTGACTCGTCGTTCGCGAACAGCTCGTTCGTTAAGAAATGAATACGACCAGTGACTTCACGAACAATTTTGAACACAAGCTTATTTCAAACAAACTAAATTTCAAACGAACCGAACACAAACACAAGTTCTGCTCGTTCGCGTTCGGTTCGTTTACACCCCTAATTCATACTATTAAATGTTTATTTATTGGAGTTATTCAAAGACAAAATAATTACAGTAAAAGTTAAAAAAAAAAAGTTTATTTAAAAAAAAAAAAGAAACTAAAAGTGTCAGAATAGCTCCATTATATTTAAAAAAAAAAAAAACTAAAAGTGTCAGAATAGCTGCATTATATTCATTATATTTTGTAGGAAATTATTTCAATCCCAGAGTTGATAAAAATATCAAAATTAATTTCCAAATAGACTGAAATAGTCATCTATGAGACCTAAAACACTCTCTAATTGAAATAATTATAGAACCATTTTGACATTTTAATTTTCACTAAAATATAACTAATTAATAAACTTTAATTAAGAGAACCTTTAACCATAAAACTAGTGATGTTTTTATGTGATATAACAAACTTCAGTGATATAAATATAAAAAAATAAAATTTAGACATTACATAAGTAAATATTTAGGAGTTGAGTGGGTATGTATGTAAATACCCCCCCAAAAAATAATTTTCAAAAAAATTATCACTCCTACCCCATCATTAGAAGCTCAAAGTATAGGGTTGCTTAGACTGATAATGTCCATTTTAACGTTTTGCAGAGAAAGTCGTGGGAGTGGAATGAAGTAGCTAGCTGAGGTTGTTGGTTTTGCTCTTTAATGAATGCACTCTTCCCTTTCTATTCTGATTTAATGATGGGGCTATTAATTTTGTTTGGTTCTTAGTTTTAGGGGGTGTTTATAAATTCTGATTTTTCATGTATTTGAGTTGAAGTTATGATATATTTTTAAAGGGAATTTGAATTATTTTCTTCTCTTTTTTTATTTAATTTTATATTAATTTGAATTTGATAAATTATACTAGAATTTTGATATTGTTGGTTAAATGTGTGGCTAGACATGCTAAAGGCATTGCTCGTGAAAATCCATAACACGAATTTGCAAACTTGACCTGTCGATGCGCCAGAGTTCTATTTCGGGCTACAAGTTAAAATTGCAGCGATACACTAATATATATATAAACAAAAATGAGACAGCCATAATTGCACTCCATTTATTCCTAACAGCTATGTCAATTTCAAAATGGCGCTCATTTCCATATTATATTGCATTCAAGTAAAATCAAAATATATGTAAGAACAGGAAAAGTAGTAATGATGCTTAATATCAGGAAAAGGTAGCATCAATGTCGTCACTCCATTTTTAAAGTCAAAACACTAATGAGCTCAACAATAAAGAATGGAGCCTACTCTCTCTCTCTTATTCTAATTTAAACCAGAGAGAGAGAGAGAGAGAGAGAGTTGGGTGATCAAGGCATCAAAAGTCTGCATGATAGTGGAGGGAGTAGGTTAAGATATAAGATCCCTTCATAATAGTTATAATCCTACCAAAAAAGCATCTTTTTGTGAGTAAGGAAGAAGCCAAATGATACTTTTGTTTTATTATTATTATTATTATTTGTTGTTCCTTTTGTATTATTTTGTATAGTAGAAGACTAAAATTTTATAATAAATTGCAATAATGATAACTCATAAGAAAAAGTAGGGCGTGCTTCAAACGCATACCCAAAAAAAATCTAAGGCACAACAAAAGGATTAGATTGATACATACTTAACGATTTATGATTATCTCATTCCGTTTTGTTCTGATCAAACTTATCCATATATAGATTAAGTCGTTGAAAATATCAAGTGATTTATATAATTATGTTATAAACATATAAGATAGTGCGATCAATTCTAAATGGTCGGTCATAAAAGAGATTGTGAGGTCAGTGGACGGGTTTGGGATAATTATGCTTATTGTATTGTAATTAAAATATAATTATGTATTAAGTCAAAAGAAAGCCCCACTTGGAATTAGATCAAGTTTTATACGATACAAATGATACATGTAGCATTGAAAACCATGTAAAACATTAATGATGTGAAGTTGATATGAAGTTAATCCAACGTGAGAAAGACGCAAATATTGACTTAAATTATTGAACTTCAATTTTATAGCATTATTGATATGAAATAATTAATCATCACAATTGTTTTTTGCATGTGTAAAACTATCCAAAGACTATGTAAGCGAATGTATATTGATATTCAGTCTAATGTTGTTGATTGAACGCTGCTCGTAAATTTAGAATTTTTCTTGAAGGACTTTTTGTTTGTTAGTAGAAGAAAATTAGATGGTACATGAAATTCAGCCGAGTTTGTATTTTTTGCGTTTGGTTGAACGGGTTGTCCGATCACTTTGAAGAGGTTATCATGTCCTTTTTAATATGAGCTTTGATTTGGCATATTTTGATAATAATGATGAAAATAAACCCATCAAAAGGCAAAAAATAAAGCAATTTTACATGCTAAGGTAGAGATATAAAACTTAAAAATAATAAAATAATAAAAAAAATCTTAGTATGATAAAAAATTGTAAAGCTTTAATTGCCTAGGCGTTAACACATTGTTTACAATTTATTTTTGCTTACCCAACTTTTACTTTGCAGGAGTCCTCTATTAAAAAGCCTTAGGTTCCAAACGTCACTCATTACATCAATTGTTTGCCTCTTTGCTTAAATAATACAATTAAATAAAATGAATATCACAATTAACAAAAAAAGTCGTGTTCCATTATCATTAATAAATTAAAAATGACAAAAGTTTCAAGATATTTTGCATATTTTGAAAATATTACATAACAACTTCATTTGGTACCAAATCAAAGACATCTTTTTCAACATTCAATACGAGACAATCATTGAGTTAGTCATCATCCATTCAATTAAACAGTTGATTTTTGACAATCATCATCGCAGGGAATGCTCGTTCTGTTGTATTTATGGCTTTTATTGAAATAAGAGAATTTTGTATTTTGGCTTTATTTACTTGTATGTCATAGTCTTCCTCTAAAAAATGGACGTAAGAACATATGAGGGTTGTATAGTGAGAAGTGTTTAATTTGTGTGTCGATCACAACATAAAACAACTCAACATGATAAAAATGTAAATTTATGATTTTTTCATCTCTACATGTTGATCAACGATTATCCTTGAAATTACAATTAATATATGGAATATCAACTTTAAAATTATTACAAAACAAGTCCCTTTCTCCAAAAAAAAATCACATTCATTCTTTCTCATCATCTATAATAGTTGCTATATTAGGAAGGATTTAAGAAGTTCTATATGTGCTGAATCAACCAAAAATTATTTGAGGGATTCTAAATTCCATTATTTTCATAAAATCCCTTTTAAATGATCAAAGAATTTCTCCCTAACAAACCTTAAATAACGAAACAATAATCATTAACCACAGTATATCAGAATTTGGACCTTAAATCCTAAAAAAAACACATAATATATCAAAATTAGCGAGATTTAATAGTAAAAAAAAATGATCAAAGAATTTCTCCCTAACAAACCTTAAAAAACGAAACAATAATCATTAACCGCAGTATATCAGAATTTGGATCTTAAATCCTAAAAAAGACATATAATATATCAAAATTACCAAGATTTAATACGTATGCCAAAAGGTCTTGTGGTTCTAATACTATGATTTACAATATCTTAATTTACAGAATTTACATAATACCACTTGGAATAAATCATAGTTGCGAGCTGTGGTGGCAGCTGCGGCCCTTCTCGATCGAGCGCGAGGCAGCGGTCAATGTGGAACTCGGGGGCGGGGGCGGGGGTGGGGGCGATCCATCGATACAAAAGGGGCCAAGAAAAATTGGAGCAGGGGCAGAAGTAGAAAGTGCAGAGCTATCCTGCCTGAAGCCCCTCAAGCCTAGGTGGGACCGCCCATGTTCATTCGCATTCCAAGGAAGGGACAATCTTGAGGTCTACTATCATTCATTATCATATATTGCTTCATACGGATCATCCATTATGGTCATTGTCACTCAATCTCTATTGTCAAAATGACATGTTTTCCCTCAACGTTCATTATTCCTCTACATTATTGACCTACATGTTTCAATCAATGGTCATTATTGTCAAAAGACGCTCACGTTCCCAGTGTATTTCCAATTATAATATGCTGAAATTACTAATTAATCAATCATTTCAATTTTTATACTAAACCATTCTATTCTCAGAATCAGGATCTAGCTATAAATTAATCCATACGCTCATAAAATCAAATAAAAAATATATTGACGCAAAACCACGATTTAAATCCTAATTTTATAAGTCTTTTTAAATATTAATTAAGAAAATGGTATCAAATAAAAGAACATAAATCGTATAAGAAATTTCGTAATTTCCACACACTCCTTATTGAGATTTGTTGAAAAAATGTTATAGAAAAAAAGGTTTAATTATGCTTTTAGAGAAATTTTCTAAAATAAATTAAAGATAATTAATTGTCAAAGAAAATTATGCATACGCCCAATTGGCTCTTTAAATCGTATAAGAAATTTCGTAATTTCCACACACTACTTATTGAGATTTGTTGAAAAAATGTTGTAGAAAAGAAGCTTTAAGTATAAATTTAGAGAAATTTTCTAAAATAAATTAAAGAAAATTATGCATACGCCCAATTGGCTCTTCCCCACGTGAGAAATGCTCCAATACCAATAATTTAAGAAATTAGAACCCCAGCATCTTCCATGCCCGGAGCATGAGACAGAGCATTGGGACCTAGGGTCACAACCCTAATGGAATGCGTGGCTCGCGGTGCTTGCAGCGCATCAAGCGTGGTCCAGCACCTTCGTGGTGGGCGTTCCCCTGACAGTCTGCGCAACGGCAACGGAGGGATCCGATGGATTGGAAAGATTTGGCGACTAAATTGTCTCAAGCAACTCCACTGATGGGTTCGTCCCCTCATCCTCCTCCGCAAATCAACAAACACCTCGCTCGTCATATTCTTTTACTACGATCACTAAGATGGGAGGGCGAAAGTGAAAGGCAAGGAGAGAGAATCCTGGAGGCCGGAGCAAGTACAAGAAAATAAAGGGGGGGGCATTAACATGTATATTACATAAGTTTTATATATTTATGTATGGAACATTTAAAATTTTATATTTACCTGCTAACAGTTGAAATTTCCAAAAATATCATCATTGCTAAATTTTTAAAATTGGCATAGATTTATGATTCCAAAATATTATAAATGTAAATATCAAATTTTAAGTATTATATATATAAATCTATAAAGATTGTGTGAAATGCATGTATATTTCTGAAAAATAAATTAGACAATCAAAGATATTTATATAAGATTTGATGCTTCATTAATAGTTGTTTATCATATAGCACGACTCTTGATACATTCATTAGCAATGTATATTTTAATTTTAAATTCAAGATCACATGTCCCCATTTTCAGTAAATTTATGTCCAAACTGTAGGTTTCGACAAGACGATCACAATGATACCAACATTAGTTCGATTCAAATTCAGATTCAGACAAGCCCAAATCAAGTCTTTGAAGCGCTGTTGAATCTCACAATATCATGTAGCTCACATTCAAGGAATAGAACAATGGAATAATGAGTGGAATAAAGAAAAATTAGAGTAAAGGGAATGGAACAAACAATAGCATAAGTGTGTGGTTTTTTTTTTTTTTTTGTAATAGGTTAGATAGCCCTCGAAGAAATGACCCTCTAATTATATAATATTAGGGGTGTTTTGTAAATTACACATTTGTCCCTAATTAAATAGGAACGTTAGAAGTGATAAATGAACAATTACACGTTTACATATTTGTACTTGAGATCTTTTGAAATTCGTAAAGGCTATAGGTGTTGTTTCATATTTGTAATGGTAACATTTGGTCGCCTATTAATATCTTGGTAGACTAAAAATCCTTCGGTCCGTTTTCTCTAGGAAACCTTCATAGGGACCTTCTTATCCTTAGAAAGGACTTATTTCATACCCCAGAGGGTGTATTGTCGTAATCTGATGTGCAGCTAAAAGTTCTATGAATCGATCGTTGATTTTCAGCGGGTGACTCAAAACCAGTTGAGAAAGTCAAATTCATATGGCTGTCCCTCAATAGCGTATAGTGTCTCTTCGTTCGGATATATCTTCCTTCAGTCGGCTCATGATTTGACCGTATGAAATGATAATTGACGTCTCTGTCTTTTGACTGTGTTGTTGTTGTCCGTTGGTATCTTGTGCGATTCGTTGAGTATCTTCGAGATTTGTTTAGTCACATTTTTTTATTTACAAGTACAATTGAAGGTTTTTAATTGTCAATTAAAGTGTTAAGCATACTCCAAATGCAACATACTTATAATTAAATCGAACGTATCAATGAGAAAAATATAACGAGCCTAAACTTGTTGAATTCCGAGATCATTAAGCACCCAAATCTTTAAAAAAAAAACCTACGATCAAAGTCAATTTGTGTCGTCTAATCATATAATTGCAGAAGTTATTCATCAGAAGATTAAAATGCTAATATCTCATATGATATAAATAGACCTACTTTCTTCACTTGAGAGAGAATGTGAAGGAAATGAATTCTAGAGCTTGTTATGGATTGAAAACTCAACAATAACTTTTGACCTCAATAGTTATCGACTACGGTCAACCATAATTTGTAGTCCACTATTGACCACAGTCTGTCGGTCATCACTGGCCATCTCTGCTTAATGTCGCCGACCTCCTGCCAACAATGACCCCTGCTTGTAAACGTCATATCCAAAATACAACTGTAATGTGTAACTTTTATATTAAAAACCCAGCAATAACATTCGTCTTCCGAACCTGCAGACCAATGTCAACACTTGTCATCAAAAACCACTACCCACTGATGAGGGCTTAGTCAAAATACAAAGTGGCTCAATTCAACACTTCAATAGGTGAGTTCGATTCAATCACTCCGATTAGTGATCTCGTTTGTATACATTATATTAAAACTTTTCGTTTTAATGTAAATATATTTAATCTAAAGGACTCTAAAATCTCAAAATTAATGGGAACATGCATAACTACGTTCAAACAACTAATAAGAAGCCAAAGAAAAAATTAAGGGAAAAAAAAACATTTACTCGGGAATACAATACAGAAGGATCTATATTTGTATCATTGAATTTTTAAGCATTTACGCAATCAACATTGTAATTGTCATGTTAATTTATATGATACTTTAATGTATAAATTTAAAAAATTCAAATAATGATGCGAGCAGCCACATTCTTTACGAAGCTGAATCTTTCCTCCCTGCAGTCTGCGAGCAAAAAGGACATTGTTAATGGAGATTAGCTTACTTGTCCCTTCTTCCAATGCTCCCCGTCAAAACCTTTCTGCGTAAGTTTTCTCTCACCGTAATTATACTCTCCCTCTCTCTCTCTCTCCGGCTCCCGCTGTCTCTCGGCCTCCTCTATAAATGCAGCCGGCGCCTTTCTCGTTGAAATACAGATAAGACAAGCAATATGCAGGAGACGATCAGGTACCTTCTAGGCTGGGCCGGAGCCAGCGGGTTCGGCTCCAAGTCGACGGCGGAGGAGGTCACCAAGACCTTGTCGGACCTCCACCCTATCACCGCCATCATCACCGGTAAAATCTTGCAATCTATCTATCTATGATCTGTTTGTTTGCAGAAAACAGATTTCGATGAGTGAATATGGAATTCTAACTACTTGGTAAGGGCGATGATGGTAGGAGCGACGTCGGGAATTGGGGAGGAAACTGCGCGCGTCTTGGCTATGCGCGGGGCGAGGTTGATTCTGCCGGCGCGGAATCTGAAGGCGGCAGTGGAGACTAAGGCTCGTATCACCGGCGAATTCCCGGAATCAGAGATAATCGTGCTCCCCTTGGACCTCAGCTCGCTTTCCTCTGTCCGATCGTTCGTTACCCGCTTCCTCTCTCTCCAGCTCCCCCTCAATCTCCTCATGTAGGTATAATTTGTTCCTACTCTGTTCCTCCCAAGTTCGATTCAAACAAGAATTGAATTCAAATTTTGGCGAATTTTGCTTTCCAGAAACAACGCGGGAAAATTTTCTCACAACCATTCTTTATCGGAAGACGGAATCGAGATGACCTTCGCAACCAACTATCTCGGTGAGGAAGCAGATGGGAACAAAATTTTTCGCGTTTTTGCGATAATAACGAACCCAATTGATTGATTAATCCACCCATCCCCAATTTTTGCTAGGCCATTTCCTGCTCACGAAGCTCCTGATCGAGAAAATGGCTGAGACGGCGTCGTCTACGGGGATCGAAGGCCGCATTGTCAACGTCTCATCAGGCATTTACACCTGGTTTTCCGGCGATGGTCTTCGTTATCTCGATCTCGTCACTCGGAAGAAGATGTGAGCTAGCCCTTCATTTCCTCTCTCCAGATCTTCCATTTCTTTTACAGAGAAACAAAATCTAAATAGTATATTGGCAGAGAGTACGACGCCACTCGCACCTACGCACTTTCCAAGCTCGCCAACGTGCTTCATACCATTGAACTTGCAGAGAAGCTTCAGGTAACTAGCTGCAGACATCGACTTCCAGTAAAAAAAAAAAAAAAAGAAAAAACCGATTTATCGATCGAACTCCCCTTCTTCAATCTATAATCCTTGCTTATTCGATTAGGAAAAGGGCGCTTATGTTACGGCAAACTGCGTTCATCCCGGAATCGTAAGAACTCGCCTTACCCGTGACCGAGAGGGATTTCTCACAGGTTGATTAAATTCTCGAAGAAAATGAATACAAGGAGAAAGTCCATTTACTAACCTGATTTGATGAATCCTGTAGATCTAGCGTTTGCAATGGCGTCTAAGCTTATGAAGACGATTCCTCAGGCTGCGGCGACGACGTGTTATGTGGCGGTGCATCCGGCGGTGGCCGGAGTGACCGGGAAGTATTTTGTGGACTGCAACCAGATTTCGCCTTCCGAGGAGGTGGTGAGCAGGAAGGAGGCGGCGCGGTTGTGGGCGGCGTCAGAGGAGATGACGATGGAGAATATTTTGAGTAGGGATAAGGCGATGTGAGTTAGAACAGGGAATTTGTGAAGCCGGAATTCTTACTTGTCCGGATACTATCATGTACAGTTGTAATGTACGGGATGTTTGATGTATAAATTTGATACTTAATATATTTTTGTTTTAATGATTTAAAAATAAATATTAATATGTTTATTTGTTTCATGAAACAAATTAAAATACAGTTAATTTGGGTTTATAAATAACAAAATTGGCTAAGAATGCAATAGTATACTGGTTGATGAGCTGTATTAACCTACTGAATTGACCAGCTAAATACAAGATGACCCGCCATACTAACTTGTTAAGTAACAACTATCGGGTACCCACCTTCGACTTAACCAATCGAATTGACTAATCGAACTATTAGGTATCAACCATCAAGTAGTAGTTGCGAATAAAAGAAGAGCATGTTTTACAATGCTTATTGATAGAACATCCATTATTTACGTTACGTTGGTCTAACATTATTGGGAAATATAAATATATATTGTAATGTACTAAAATCAATTCATATTGCCTCTGTATAGCCCAACAAGGGAAATAGATCATCTCAAGCATTATAAATAGAGATGATCTCCGATCCGTGCTCTACTTCCTATTTGCAACCTCTACGAGTCTAACTTAGATTATATGAGCCCATGGGCAACTCAGAATTCAACAATAATACTATTTTTGTAATTTGTGCTAAGAGAATAGCAAATGTGCAATTTTTTAGTGGACGAGACTTTAAGAGGCTGTTTGGTTTACTGAATTAGTGATATTCTTTCACATAGATTCCAGAAAATTATTTATTTTGTATGAGAAATTATAAATAAAATATAAAGTTTAAATAAATTTGAAATTTATATTATAGTTCATTTTGACATAATTTAGAATTCGACGGATTTGATCAAATTTAAATTCATCGTTTATATAAAATGGTATGGGCATGATGCTGCTGCTTGCCTCCCTCATCGCAAAGGCGGCCGCTCGCCAACCACCAACACCATCGCCACCCTCGACACTACCTGTTCACCCACCGCCGCAGTCGATAGCGCCTCACTGCCTCCTCCGAAGTCTGTCGTTGGCTGCCGTCGCAGTTCGCCACAAGTGCCTCCTCAGCTGCCGGCCGTCCGATGCACTTTATTTTTAGCAAACCAAGGACCTCTAAGAAAAGGAATGGACATGGGACGAGCTTAGGCCTTAGAGGCATGCTAGTTATATTTTTAAGAAATACAATTTTTTTGCAAGTAAAATATGTTAATATTTTTTTAGATAAAAAAAAAGAGATTAAGATAATTATTAGACATAAAAAATTGTCCTTTTTAAATAAAAATGTTTATTTGTAATTTTTCAATTGAAAATTTTCATTCTCATGTTGTTTATTAAAAGCAAACACACATATTTATGTATAATCTATAATATCAAACCTTATTAAGATTTTTTGCAATAAGCTATTCAAGTTTTTTCATCTTTATAAAAAAATTTAAGTTTATGCAATAAATTTATCAAATAGTTATAAACCGACTATATTGAGGGCATATTTGGGTTATTGGTAGAGGAGCAGTGCAGTCTGCATCGCACTGCTTATACATTTTATAAAATTGCATTTTATTTGTTTTTTTAATAAATTATGGGGATAAAGTATATAGTCTGATGATTGTCAGAAAATTATAGCCATTCTTCTTGAAAATTAAATTGTAATAGTCACCACAACTTTTCGAACAATAAATTGTTCTGTAACAACTTTACAGTTAGTTCTTCAAACAGCTGCAACTACGTTAAAAAGACCCTAAAATGAGCCCCAAGTAATTTATGAGACACATTTTTATCCTTTTTTTTGTCTGAAGTATGGTTCATCGGCCAAAAATATCACACGTTGAACAGAGAGTAGTCCAATAATGTCATATGACGAGAAATCCAATAAAAAATGAATGAGTAAAATATGGTACAAAAAAATTTAAAATAGAGAAGAGGAATAGCTATAGGAGACATACCAACAGTTGGAGCTCGCAGGCCAAAATCAGTGAACAAATGAGCGGCAAAAAAGTCTGACAATGAAGATAAAACATCTCATCAAGTAGGACCATTGGACCAACACCTCATATGCCTTCCTAACATAATATTAATCTATTGCACAATTGTGCATTATGTCATTCCTAAGTTTTTCCTATTGTTAGATGCATCTTAATTGAACAAGCAAACACTAGCTCGTTTAATAATGATGCATTTGTAACCCCAAAATTGTTTTAAAAGTTTCGTGGGTTTCGTTCAACTCTTGGATGTATGGGTGTAAATGAGCCGAGTTTGAATGTGCCCAGTGTCTGTTCACGTTCGGTTTGGTCGAAATTTTCTTAGGTCGAAATTTTCTTAGTTCAATTCAAATTTATTTGTTAGTTTAAACTTGTATTTATTTCGAAATTAAGTCTAAATGATTTTAAAGTTAATAAATTTTAACATTTTTTAAATACAACATATAAAATTTATATTAAATATTAAAATAAAATTAATTATTTAATTAATTTGAGCAAAAAAGAGCTGAACATAATAGAGAAAAAGTTTATTTTTGACTTATTTATAAATCAATCTAATAAAATTATTTGTGTCTGACTTGATTGTTTAGTGAATGAATCGAGCACAGCTATTTAACTAGTCACATGAGTTGTTTGTAAATGATTAACTTTTTTGAAAACTAAACTTGGGGGGTCTTTCAAATTAATTATTTTTAAAAATTTTTATTTTTTGACAACACTAAAAGCAACGTGAATTTGGGATTTATTTTTTGAATCCACTCAACCCCCTCCTTCCTCTTAATTTTCTGCCTAAAATCAAACCAAATCTATTTTATCAAATCAAATTCAATTTGACTCTTAAACTATCAATTTGGGTTTTAGTTTCATCACTAATTTTATTAGATCAAATTTTTTCGTATTTCTTACGCGTGAGACGTTGTTAACCCGAATAATAAAAACAAGCTAGAAAAGTGAGATAGATAAAAAAGGAAAGGTATAAATGATGAGAGAAATTGATGAGAAAAACCACCAATTATGAGTAACACAACCTCTTTCAGAGAAAAAATTATTTCCTTAAACTGTGTATTTGAAGTGAATCCTATTGTGTAAACCTTAGGTTGTCACTATCATGATTATTCACACTATCTACTCAATTGGGTTGGTTGCTACTCCACAATTGGGTTCCTACACTCAATTCTTGTATTCCAGTTAAAATTCAGGTAATTTATCCGGTCTTGATTGTTGTTGGAATTTGAGTTATTAAACTTATTGATTATAATATTCATCAATTCTACAGGAACCACATAGCCTCAGTAAGAGAGAAATGAGAACCAATGAGTAATCGGTCATGACTAAAAGACCACTAATAGATAAAAATAAAACATTTGTCCCTAGGAATTGAGGAAACTACTAGATCAAGTCATCAAGTATAAGCCATTTCTTTTTTCTTTTTTTTGGTATGATTCAGTGTCAAGCATATTTACTACACTATAATATCTTGCGGTCAAGCGGTATGATCTATTATGCTTGCTTTGGTGTGATCTTTCACTTCACAAGCAAGCGATCTGCAAAGCCAGCTAGCACATCACTTTATTACATTCCCAAAGCATTCTCTTTTAATAATGCTGATAACAATGTAGTAGTAAATCAAAAAACATCCAAATAAGTTATCTAGTCAGCATCATTAGAAAGCCTCATTTAAATTCGGTTTGATAGATACCAAATTTGTGATGCACAAACAATGCCTCAAGTTTGCTTGGCATGACCGGCTAGCATCTTTTTAATCTAAGAAATACATCGACATACCTTATGTAAGTATTGAGCCATTTGAGACATACAACCAATAACCATTTTTTAGAACATTTATAAGAGTATGCGGTTGAGCGAATAAAATTTTATCATTGTTAGAGTATGTTTCTGAACTATGGTTGGACACGCAACATGATTAAATGTAATTGAAAGGTGGTTAGAATAAAATTTGAACACTTGTTCAGTATGTTTTGTCCCATGTTCGATCATGTTTTGTCAACATTTGAACATGTTTGTATTATATGTGAACCTTGTTCAATTGTTGCTTTAACATGATTTGAATGCATGTTTTGATAAATTTCACTTTTTCTATTTAAATTAATATTTTTCTTATGTGATTTTGTGGTTCATGACGATGGACAAGATAAATATGTTGATGATTTATAGCATATTTAAAAATTATTTTTTAATATTGCCTAATTGATTTGAGTTATGGATCTACCTGGAAGCTTACATCTTGCCTTTTTGAATTTTATCCTTTTAAATCTTGTCTGGTTATGCTGATTTCAACGCAACATAGCAATGACAATGATTTTGTTTGGAAGCTAAGGGATGGTGATGGGAGTAGTCCGCAAATTATTCCACAGCCTCCAATTCTGAAAACTCAAGCAGCCATCACAGAAGATGAAAAAAGTAAAAACAAAAATATTTTAACCTAGTTCGAGTCGATAACCACAAGATGGTACTTATCTTCAGGTTATGAAAAAATTATTACGTGCGGAGTCCGCCTACATGTGGATCTATGTATAACATTATTAGCCCACAATTTACACATTATTGTAAAACAATATTATACATGAAATCCACATGCATAAAGGTATTCCGTAAGTACATAATATTATCTCTTAAGTTACATGATTCTGGTAGTACATGTTTGGTGACAGTCCACAGCAGCAACTGGAAGAAAAGTACAACACAAGAAAGGAGTTCAATTAAACAAAACTTGCAAATAAAATTAACTCCCATGGCTGCATAATCACAAACAATATGATTTGAACTGTTAATTTAATATGATAAATTAATAAAAAAAAGTGACATTTACATACATACCTCTCAATTCCTATGTGTTTACTGCCTCACTTTGTTCTTAGCCTCCACACACAATATAAGCACAGGCATTTCTGCTTCCTTGCAATAATTAAATGGATAAAACTCATTTTCTATGAATTTCCATCACAAATGGTTGTATAGCACACCATGTGCGGCGTTGGAATTAGCATTAGTCTGTCATATTAATTTTTATCACAAGAAGTTGAGATTTATTTCCTGGTTAGCTCCATCACTTCAAACATCCTCCATAATTGCCCCTAAGATTAGTTTATTTAGGGGTAATTTTCTGCATGTGCATGTGTTGTATTTCAAATCATCACCATTGTTATGTTTTGAAAATTATTTTTATTCTTCAACAAAGATGAGCACAGAGTATAATATGCACGATTCGAATTCATGACCTCACCATGGAAAAATTTTTGTGATAGATAGCTACTTGATTTAGGTCCCACAAAGGATCATGATGGTTTTGTCCTAACAGAGTATAATATGCACGATTCGAATTCATGACCTCGACCTCACCACGGAAAAATTTTTGTGATAGATAGCTACTTGATTCAGGTCCCACAAAGGATCATGATGGTTTTGTCCTAGACTCACCAAGGGTGATGAAGTGCATTCTAGGACTCACTCTGTGGAATAAGCCAAAGGCACATAGGGATTTGTTGGTCTCCTCTATTTGATAGGCAAACTTATGCTATTGGCAAAAGGGATCCCTCGAGGACTCATCCGACTTTATCTTACAAAACTTATTCCATTGCCCAGACAATCACTTAGTAGTGTTACACAGAAATGTACTTTTAAATTACTTTTGTTTACATAACTCTTTTGTCGTTCTCATAATTCTATAAATTAAGAGAAAAATGAGATATAGAGGAGGACATTATCATGTATTTTTGAAATTAATATCCATTTAATGGATGATCTTAATCAGCATATTCTTCCCTTGACTTGATATTTTATGCATTTTTAAAGCTTTTTAAGTGTCTATAATGGCTCAAACATCATTATTCGTTTAACTTTAAACTTTCATTTAAGAAAAGAAAGGAAAATATACATGATTACCATTGGTTTTCTTTATCGAATATCCAACATCTAAATTATACTATTTATTTATATAAAAACTTAATCTCTATATCCATTTAAAATATTACAACCTATAACTTATTTATCATTAATTGCATCTTTAGTTCATGCATTCTAATGTCAATTAGATATTATGGAATTATATACGTAAATAATACAGATTTAAAAATTATAGATGTAAATTTATAAAAATTTAATGATAAATAAGCTAATCCCCTAAAATACAGTAAAAATTTACTTAAATGTCTATTATTTTACTGTTGAAGTAATTCCCCTTCATTTCTTCACCCATAGCCATGTAGGGTAAGAAAGATAGGAGGTAAAGGAAAGGGAGATTCCATATAAAAGAAATTTTGTATTTATATATGTTAGGGCTCTATTCTCACCAACCTAGTTTAGAAAAGTGGCATCCTCAAGCTCATGCATCACTCTTCTAGCTTAGAGAGAGTACATCATTAGATACCTTAAGCTTTGATCCATGCATTAATGTAATTGAAGAATTGCTTAACTTGAGATGCAAATCCGGCGCTAATCTTGAAATATTATCATATTTGTGTCCGATTTATGTCTGATCCGTTTGACACAAATATACTAAATTTATGCAATAATTATATTTGAGCAAAGAAGAGAGATTGGCATAGCTTTGAAAGATTCAGATGTGGCCATAATTAATATTTCTCACATAAGTTAACTTCACAAAAGAAAAACAAGATGAACCAATAAAATCCAGTGTGTGCGTGCAATTGATCACACAGCACAATACATAATCTCTCTATACATCCTGCTGAAACCCAAAAAACTGATCAAATCCCAAATCCAAATTCTGATCAGGATCAAAAAAGCCATTCTCCTCTGATCCATCAGACCACTTATTTGCTGATAAATATTCCATTTCATCCGATGACGACCCTTTCCCTTCCTCAGTGCTGTTCTCCATCACATGAATGCTCGCCGTCAGTCGAGTCGGCTTTGGTGCGTAGATTTTGATCTCATCATTGCTATTAATACTTTGCATCCTGCTGTTTGAGGACGACTTTGCATGTTTTTTTCTTGGGATTGCTTCTCTTACCACCAAGCCCTGTTTTTTGAGCTTCTTGCTCAGATGGCTGTTCCAATAGTTTTTTATTTCATTATCGGTTCGGCCGGGAAGACGGCCGGCGATGAGCGACCAGCGGTTGCCGAGAAGCCGGTGAAGGCGAATAATGAGGTCTTCTTCTTCGGGGCTGATGTTCCCGCGCTTAATATCTGGCCGGAGATAGTTCATCCAGCGAAGCCTGCAACTCTTTCCACAACGGAGAAGTCCTGCATTCAAGCACGTGCATGTAAGGATCAAATATTAATTATTACAATCAAATCTAATAAAAGTCCTAACTTTGAACGCAATTTTAAAAAAGAATAAATTTTTACTTCGAATTTCTTTTCTCAAAGTACAAACCATTATGACCGACTATTTTTTTCCACACATCCATCGATCGATCGTTAATATACGTAAAAAAAACTTTAATTCACTCTTCAAAATACAGAAAAAAAAAAAAAAAATGAGTTTTGCAGGCTGCTGTAAGAAGAAATTACTATACACACCAGCTAGTTTGGGGAGAGATCTCCAGTTTCCTTCGCCATGATTCTGAATATAGCTGGTGAGCAATGCGTCTTCTCTTGCTGTCCATGGTCCTCTGTGTAACCCTAATTTAGAACAGCAAGGAGATCTTCCCATCTTCTTCTCTTTCAGTTTGATAGCTCTATCTGGATTGATCAATGTATATATGGTTAATTTATATGTGAGGGAAGAGATTGAAGCAGCTGGCTGCTGAATAAGGTGGAGCTATGAGATGTTATATATATATAGCCCGCTTCATTTCTTCATGTATTTAAAATGGCGAATGAAGAAAATATCTCTTTCAGCTGAAGCTCCCGAGCGCGCACGGAGAAGACGCGAGTAACCGTCAAAATAAGCTGTTGTGGGCAAATGACGTTTTTGACTGAATCAGCTTTAGGGTCAAAGTTTGCAAAACAGCAAGGGAAGAAATTCAAGTGATATGGATAATATAGATACCTTTCCATTACTCTCTTCTGATAGTTATGATGAAATGCATAGACTTGTAAAATCAGATCAAAAAAATTTGTGTCAAAATATAATTAAGTGTATTGTTATGAAGAATTTTAAAATTTATTGAATTTATCTTGAGGTAAATGTAATGTAGATTTAGATTGATTTTTCATGTATTGTATGTGAACATACATGAATCTTATAAAATATCTAATTATTTTGAGAGCCATTATGACTTACATTGATGATATATTTTGAAGATATTTATATAAATAGAGAATGGACTAAATAGAAATATAAAAAAAGGAATATTTACATGTAACATTCAATTGGTTGGTAATTACGTATACAGCACTAAAACTTCAATTCTTACTTATATGCCACCTTACTTATGCAAATTTCAATCATTTAACTTGAATCTCGAGGCATGACTCAAATCTTGAGGTAATTTTGAAACGTTCAAAGTTTGATTAAAAGTCATCTAAAACTCTAATTTCAGTAAACTTAAACTCAAATTGACTGTTTTGATGAGACGAACACAATGATATCAAAATAAGACCAATTTGAGTCAAATCAAGCCCAAATAAAGCCATTAAACTACTTTTGAAAGCTTTCAGTGCATAATTAAAAGGTCAAATGGATTCCAAATGTGACATACTTATAGTTGAATGACTTATCTTCACTAGAGAGAAAATTAATGAGCCTAAGATTGCTCAATTATGACATCTTCAAGGCACTCAAACATTTACTGAACGCCATCCAATCGAGGAAATCTCTTCAGGCTGTCCATTCAATATGGTTTGGATTCTATCCTTATTTGTAATCCAAATTTTATAAATAGAACCCTACCCCACTCTTTAGGGAGGGAGGAAGAGAGCTTGAGTGAAAAGAAGAATAATGTTTGGAGGAGGAGCTAAAGTCCAACATCATTTTTGCATGACATATTTGACGAATATGTCCTATTCTGCAGCTGCCAACCACCCTCAAATACCACCCATCAGCCACCGTCAACCACCTCCTACCAGTCACTATCGGCCACCATCAGCCATGGCTGCCAACCACCCTCAAATACCACCCTCCAGCCCCCGTCAACCACCTCCTACCAGTCACTATCGGCCACCATCAGCCATGACTTGCTCCTTGCACTGAAGTCTGTTGTGAAGCCATAAAGTACACTCCAAAATCCCAACATATATTTTAAAATAATACGACATCTCAAATAAAATGCAACGACATACTCTAATGACTATATAATAACACATCCCACATACGATGCAACAGATCCTTCTGAAGACAGTATAACAATGCACCTCGAAGATTATAGCTTTCTACAAACTTCTATAGCTCATTCCATGCAACTTCGGACTCCGGCCTTTGCGGCCTACAAACGTAAACAAGGCTCACTGTTACTCCCTACATGATCAATTACGACCAACGTGGTCCACAGCTCATATAGCTC